ATATGTCAGTTTTATGAATGATTTTAATGTCCACTGGTAAGTGCTAATACATTTACTGTAACAGCTTTGTTAGGGAAACACAAATACTGACATCAGCTGTTTATAAGTGCTCAAATTATTGCTTTTTAAAAGGTATTCAGTACTTATGCAGGTGTTATCAAGTCCTCATGTAGGCAGCCTTCAAATGAAATCTTATTGAAAAAAGTGATTCATTAAATTTACTTGATTTAAATATGTGCACCATTTCTTCATCAATAACACAGCACATGGTCCACAATTATGATTTACAGTTTACTTACTCTTGGCAACAATTATCTAACACATTGTATCAGTATGGAAAAGATGCACACGTCTGATTTAATTAAGTTTAATACTTTTTTCAGTGAGAATCTTTCTTGTGTTTTTTCTTCTACTGTGCACTCAGGTGTCTCCACATTCACTCATTCATTCACTCTGTTGGCCACACCCGCTCTCTCCTTCATGAGTTATGCACAGAAGCTTGTGCTTCTTTCTCTTTCTCCCTCCGTTTCTGTTCCCCCTCCAGGGAGACACTGTTTTTCCTTCTCTCTTTCTTCTCTTGTTCTGTCGTTCCTCTCCAGTGGACAAGTGACAGAGTGGCGGGAGAACAGCAGGCGCCGCACTGTCAGACTTAACTTCGCTCAAATCAACATAGATACACATACACAATCTCTCTCTCTCTCTCTCTCTCTCTCTCTCTCTCTCTCTCTCTGTGTTTCTGCGTTCTATATCACTCCCTTTCTCTTCTCTGTCGCTTTTTTCTTCCTTCTCGCTTTCACTCTCCTTCGGTCTCTCTCTCTTTCTCATCTCTGTCTTTCCTCTTATTTTGTCTCCCTCTTGTCTCTGTCCATCTCTCTCTCTGCCTCTTTCTTTCTCTCTTTCACTTTTTTCTCACCTGTATTTTTGTTTCTCTCTCTCTCTGTTTTTCCTCTCTATTTTTCTCCCATTCTCTTTTGTCACTTTTTTCTTCCTCCTCTTTTACTCTCATTTTGTCAGTGTCTCTCTCTCTCTCTCTCTCTCTCTCTCTCTCTCTCCCAGTCCCTGTCTTTCTTTCTCCTCTCTTTCTTCTTTCTTTTTCCTATCTTTTTGTCTCCCTCTTTTCTCTATCTGTCTCTCTTTCTCTGCCTCTGTCTTTCTTTCTCTCCTTCACTTTTTTCTCTCCTGTCTTTTTGTTTCTCTCTCTCTCTCTCTCTCTCTCTCTCTCTCTCTCTCTCTCTCTTTTTACTCTCCTGCCTTTTTGACTGTCTCTCAGAATGTCTCTCAGAACTCTCTTAAAATGTAAAATTATTTATATGTCTTGGCTGAAATGCATCTACAAATCACAGTACACATCATCGTCATCAGCTGTTTCAAAGTTTAATATGGATTTAATGAAAGAAAAAAGCATGTTTAAAAATATCTTGAGACATTTCCTAAAACCACATTTCATTGGATAGAGTCATGAAGGAGGATGAAACATGCAAATGCTGAGTGCACGCAGGCTCTCTAAATGACCCCCACACACACCTCCACACACCCTCAACCTCAGAGTAAGAGCTAATCTCTATCAAATGACATAACAATACAAATCAAATGTAGAGATTATTAATGAGATCGTTCATGCGGATGGAAAGCACTTGGTGATTCCTCAGAGGGAGCAGGGCGACGTGCTGTGATTAAAAGAAGAATTCTTTAAAAAAACGGTGGGGTTAAAAGCAAAAATGATAAAATACACTTAAAAGAACAAGACAGAGTGAAGAAATGCACAAAAACAACAGTCACACACGCAGACACACTGAAGTACAGACAGACAAGACTAAAACAAACACACACACACACACACTCGCACACAAATACTGGGGGCTGTTTCATGGGGACGTTTGCTTTTTTCATATACTCAACATCATCAGACGTAAAGATCTAAGCATTGGTTCAACATGCAAATACATATCTCCCTCCCCCACCCAGCACACATAAAAAACTAAAGCACTGATATAACAAATACTGACATAATGTCACTGTCATATGAAAACCTGACATGCCTAATTTTTTTTCTTTTCTTCTACATCAAATGAAAACACCACCTCCCGTTTCCATTGTGTGGACATTTCATGATAAAATGACCAACAGACATAGTCCAAATAGCTTCTCCTGAAAAGTTACACTGTAAGGAAAAAAAAGAACTTAAAATATTACAATATTTAACTTAAGTAACTTGGCTACTGTAAATTGGCTGATGTAGGGTGTTCAAGAAATGTTGTTTACATGTTAATTCTAGATTAATTCTTCCACAGTAATTACACTGGATTATTCTATAAGGACTCTTATAGTGAAGGTGGGGCTAGCCAACTGGCTGTGTTTATGTGTAGATCAGGAAGAACTGAGTACTGGTATCAGTTGAGATGTAAGACGTGAGCTAGGAGGTTAGAGCTGAGCTTATGTATGGTGTGGCTGTGGCCAATAACAGCTGGTTAATAAAGCACCACAACTTGTGCAAAACCTGGGTCTTTTTGAACAGCAGTGAACGCTACAATATGTTGACAGAATTGACAGATTGGTCAGTTCTGACAGCTCAGTCTGATTGTTTGAGGAGTACTTTACCCATGCTGCTATTTGTGTGTCTCAATTTGGGAACTGTGCACTGTGTTTTTTCACTATATACTATGTTCATCTCCTTCTAGTGCCTTGATTTTTGAGGTATATTATTGTCTCAAATCAAACACTAAGGTTTTGCACTGAATGCAAATTACAAATTACCGCGTTGTACCGCACATCATTGCATCTAGATTAGTAGGTAGCTTACACTAGCAATAACCTAAGTGCCCAGTTTCCATTATGACATTTTGAAATCCTCTGCTGTGTAATGCAAAAGTCTAACAAAAACAATGTTACACAAAAACGCAGTTTCAAGCAAATACAAAGACATCTTTTTCGCTTTTGAAATATTAAACTGCAGTGGCCTTTCCTGGCTCTGCTCTTCTGCTACATATATGCACATCCACTTTGCAATGTGGACACCATCCGGATACTAGCAGTGCACTACATCCCATTTCATTTTCCAATGTGAACACACTACTTGCACTAAAGTTGGCTAGTACAGTACAAAAGTACATGATGTAAAACAGCGTATTACTATGCTGAACACCAGTTGCTAAGTAACCACTTGCTTCATGCTTTGGCTGTTATTAAGTTTCTACTTTTGTATAAACACATGAAGTGAATGCACTACATAACTTCTATAAGATAGTATTGATCTGCAGCCGGTTTAATCAGATTCTGAATAAAAGTGTGGGGCAGGCCTACATCATATTCTGAATCTGTTGTTGCTCCTAATCAAACTTTTTGGTCGGCAGCTGTGAAAAAAAACAACTAAACAATCTAGAGTTAGCCGGAAACTAACAGAACATGTTTTGGTGAACAAGATGAGCTGTGAAATGTTTTACAGTCTGGCTGGAACAAAACCACATTCAGGTTAATCTGGCAAGTATTGAAAAAGCTGAGCTAAACCTGTTATTGCGACAGTTTTATGGCTCTTTCTGTAACGCAGAGGGGCACTGTTTCAAACTACAGTATTAAACCGCATTTGATGCAATATTCGGGGCTTATCTGCTTTACTTTTTTTCATTTTGCAGAACTTTTGTATAAAACCAATAAAACATGAGAGGGAGTGTGTTATTGCACATAACATCATGGTTGTGATGATCCACAGTACTGTGTCCAAATTACAGCCATGATCCTATTCGCAATAACACACGTGCTTATATGCTTTTGACAGTTGAAACAACAAATCTTTGTTACAATGTACCATTTCAGAGGTTTTCTTATGACAGCAACGATACACTGACATAATGAACATACAGAGCAAAAATGACAAAAACATGTACTGCAACAGTGTTCATGATGATTTACCAAGTGGTCTAATTCAGTATTATTCAACTTGTACCACTGTGCAAATATTCATACTGCATAATGACTTATAAATGAATGGCAATCTGAGTCTCTGTGTGCATGTGTGTCGGGAGCTCTGATGGCAGAAAGACAGTGAGAGAGGCAGTGTTGAGAAACGTATCGAAAGGATACACACTGGTTGAGTGTGTGAGGTTAATGTGTATGGATAACCATGTGTGTGTGTGTGTGTGTGTGTTTGTGTGTGTGTGCCCTCTTGTTCTCTCTACCTGTCAAGACACAAAGTCAGTGACACCCAGACACACCACTTTCACTGATTGGATCAGGACACTGGGAGAGCAGCCAGCAGAGACACTACCTTGCACACAGAACATAATTTATCACTGTGGTAACAAAACCTTGTCTCTCCAAAACGGTCATTTTACAGGAAGAGAGAAAATGTACATTAAAGGGGCACTCTGGCCAAAATGACAAATTGAACCATGTCTATATCTGTTGTTAGCAGACCTACTTTGCCCCTACAGTGCTTCCAACATAATCTCTAGAGCAAGATTCCTATGTTTATGGACTAACAAAACCTCCTTCGGATGATGTATCTTGAAGGTGGGAGGAACCTTAGGGGAGGATGCTTGAGAATAGGCTGCTTGAAAGCTGGAGAATGCAGGAAGTCAGATAGCTAACGTTACTGCTGAATATCACATCTGTATTTATTAGCATCTACAGAACTGCCACATTAAAAAACTGCTATCCAAAATTATTAGTACAATCATTTTCATTCAACCTTTTGTTTACTGCTCTGCACTAAATCCAATCAAACTGCACTAATTAAATTCTCTTTGTAGTAAAACATGCAGTTGTTACTACGATAATCTCAATATACTGAGAAAATCATAATGTGATTTTATTTATTAAGGTAATGATACAATATCATCACATTGCCCACCCCACAACAGAGTATTACATAACATGACATATTAAAGTTTGTTCCCTGTAAAACATGTAATTAGGTGTTAGTCTTTTGCATATGACTGTATTAAATGCTAGTTTTGGCTGGAATGTCCCTTTAATGTAATGAGATTTTCTTGCAAGCAGTTTTGGAGCATTTCTATTGGTCAAATTATAATGAAATGATCATACAATGTAAAAGGCAGCTGGCTTTCAAATGGCACAAATAAAAAAAGAAACAATAAAACAAAACGTTACAAGGGTTACAAGGTTTTGGTATGACAGCAACAAACTACATTTCCATTCTCTACAACTACATTTCCCACAATCACCTATCTGACTCTTAATCCAGAAACACTCTCCCAACTAATCCCCTCCATTCTTTATCTCCAAACGTCACTGAAGCTCCTCCCCCACTCTTGCTCTCGCTCTCTCTCATTCAGAAAACACTCCAGCTATCTGCTGATAGAATCCAATTACAGCAGTTGTTTTTGCATTGGGATGTTTCTGGGCTGGCCTTCAATTCATTAGGACTAAGGAATGAGCAGACTGCAGGAAAGAAAGGTAGTGACCTTAAAAGGCAATTACCACACACACACACACACGCACGCACACACACACACGCACACACACACACACGCACACACACACACACGCATACATACACACAGAGTATCAACAGGCTCAGACAAGACAATGACTCTCTGGAATGGTCGCCTAGCAACAGGAGGTCCTAAAAATACACTGCATACGCATCCCATCACTCAAAACAATGTATTAGGCTGAGGCAGCTACTCTGAATAGCTAAACGTCTGCACGAGTACTAAATCTGTCACACTTCTCCCAGTTTTTTTTCCTTGCTCTTCTTTCCTTTTTTTCTCGTTTGCATGTGACTATTCTGTCAATCACTCTTAAAACGCAGAAATACAGCAGACAGAGACAGAGGGAGGATGAAGTGTAACTTTCTCTCTCTGTCTAGCTTTCTCTTTCTGTCTCCCTCTCGGTCCTGCTCTATCATTCTCTGATTCCCCAAATCACAGTAAGTCCAATTGTCACAAACATTGACCTGGACAACATAAACAGTGACGACGGGTAACATACAGTAACATTGGGGTTGTAGTCTGACAACAGCGACCAAGTATTGTAATCAGTATATCAAAATAAAAATAGCATTAATAGTAATAACACCTGCAACGTTTGATCACATAAAACGCTCCAGTGAGAACAGACTGTGTACATGCTCTGAGCACACAGACTACTTCAGGGCTTTTCTGTGGCAAAGGTCATTTCCCATGCCCGTCCAGCATTTCCATAGTAACACTTTTCCTTTTTTTTTCCGACGTTACAAAAGTGGACGTCCCCCACGCTAAATGCCATCACACACATTGCTCCCTGACTCTCACTGCACTTTAGCACACAGCTTACTAGTGTTTAGATTCAGAACGTGCATCAGAAAGCTCTGCTGAATATCCTTTTATAGCCTGGGACTGGGCAGCGTCATTGTCCAGTCTTTACAGTTTTTTACAGTCTACGTAATCTTCAGCACCATCACTACCATTTTCTAAATTGTCCTCATTCTGATTGGTCCTTTATCCTTTCCTTTCTGAGTCCAGGATCAGAACTTCCTGTCAAGGAATCCTCCACTAAAACAGCTTCTTCTCATTCCGTATTACACCATTTCTTCACGTTCACATCATTTTTCCTTTTTTTTTTACAGAAAGTTATTCCTTCTTGAAATTGGCTTCAACTCTTTCACACATGAACACTTACAGTCCTTCATTTTATTCAATTCCGCTTTGTTGCTGTTGACCTGTCTTGGTCCAAACATCCTCTAGAATATCACTGTTACAATTACACGATAACAACTTTTAACAACTTTTAACACTTGACACTATTGAAAAGGAGTAGAAAAACGTAACTTTCAGAAACCGGATCTTCAGACTGGCTCAAACAGGACGGAGTGGTTGAAGAAGAGGGAAAACTCTATAGGCTCACTGGTTACTGGTACACTCTTTAAAATAAAGGTGCCAAAAAGGGTTCTTGGGAGCGATACCACAGAAGAACCATTTTGATTCTTTGTAGAACCTTTCAATGAACAATTCCTCAAAGAAGCACTTTGTTTAAAGAAACTTTGTTTAAAGAACCTCCACATAATGTAAAGGTTGTATACAAATTAATGGATTTTCCTTGAATTGTATGTTCTAGCCAGTAACAATCTAGGAACCTTTATTTTTAAGAGTGCAGAGACAATTTTAAGACAACTTTAGAGGTCTTACAGTAAGGCAAAAGGAGAAAGGAACCCACAGTAAGGTACTGCTAGAGAACAGAGAGGACGGACGAGAGAGGAAAAGTTTATAGTGTGGGAACCGAAGAGACACTCATAGTTCATTTGAAAGACTAAAATGTGTCAGGAGATACTGATCTACTGCGAGAAGTCGACCTAAAGTCCCTTCACTACCTTATTCCTGTTCCTTCTCTGGGTCTTTCTCTCTCTCTCATCTCTCTTTCTTTCAGAATCCAGGAATGTGGCAGTATGCTTCCAGAGAAGCCAGAAGAATGTAGATAAGCCAAAGCATGATGAAGACCAATGAGGTAATCAGTTTGCAAGTCCGAGGGCCCCCGAGTTCTCCTCCGGCCACTGAGAGGCGCCGGCGGTACAGGAGCACACTGACACACACCACGCACAGGGCAGTGAAGAGTGTGACGGAGAAGGCCAGAGAGCCGGGATCCACCTGGAAGGGTTTGCCCTTAGTGCGCCAGTACACAGCAGCAATGGTCCATGCCACACCGATGCCCAGGAAGACGTTGACCGCATTACTGCCCGTTACATTACCGATGGAGGCGTCGGCATACTGGTCCTGTATGGCAGCGACCTTACTGGCAAAGGTGTCTGTGGAGAAGATACAGAAAGAATTAAGAGGGTACAAGGTTGTGATGGTTTAATTAATCATTTATTCATTTTAATCCTTAAAGGTGCAGATGTGGGCCCACACTTCAGTTGACCTATTCATGCTCCACTCACAAATGCAATGCTTCGTAACACTCTATGAGGTTGGACTAGCTTTACAGAACACTGGCAAAAATTCCACCAAGAATAACAAGAAATGTTAGTGCACAATTCGATCAAAATACCTTAAATCTAGAGTGTAATAAATAATTTGAAAAGATATTTATTTTGTATGAGTGTGAGAAAGGTCACGCAGCATAAACAGTATTTTTTTCATATAATCAAAGTAACGTTAGCATGGTTATTGTTGTTTTCAGACAACATAGCGTGTTTCAATTGCAACAACATAGTCCAGCTTGGTAGCATAGCTAGATTTTAAAAAGGAATTTCAATGTTATGTAGCGGCTCTAAAACTTAATAGTAGTCCAGTGATTTCTTGAAGTAACACCTGGATCAGTCTCCCTTTACTGGTCCTGAAACAACATTTCTTTTAATCAGTCATTGCCATCTGATGTCACCAGTGTGTGCCTTCTACTCAAGGTACCTGAAAATTCTCTCTAAAATGCAGTCGCTAAATACTAGTCCACATTTTATTTCATAAAATTAAGCACAATTGTTGAAAATATTTAAAGATTTGCTATATTTAGAAGGGCCTGGGTTTGATTCCCTGGCCGTTAACCAGAGTCTTTTCTGTGTGGAGATTGCATGTTTTCCTCATGTCTGTGTGGGTTTCCTCCCACAGTCCAAAGACACGCAGTCAGGCTAACTGAAAATGCTAAATTGCCCCTAGGTGTGAGTGTGTGTGTGTGTGTGTGTGTGTGTGTGAATGTTTATGTCTGTGTGTCTAACGTGTGATAGACATCACAACCATGTTGATCCTGGATAGATCTGCTAATGTTGATTCAGGGACATCGTCAGGCTCATTCTGGACAGAACTACTAATACTGATTCATTAACATCATCACCACGTTGATTCTAAACAGATCTTCTAATGTTGATTCAGGGAAGTCATTGCCATGTTGATCCTGGGCAGATCTACTAATGTTGATTAAGGGACATCTGTCAGGCTGATCCTAGATTAGATTTGATTAGTTAATGCTGATTCAGAGACACCATGCCATGTTGATCCTAAACAGATCTACTAATGTTGATTCAGAGACATCACTGTCATATTCACTGTTGATCCAAGATCATTATTACAGCAATTTAATCCAAAATCAACATGAAGATAATGGACATGAATGAATACTTTCGCTTAATTTTATTATTTGAAACTCAATCTGACTAATGCATTTAGAGGATTTTCAAGTGCCTCAGGGAGAAGTAGAAGGCACACACTGATGACATCAGATGGCAGTGATTGGTTAAAAGGGATGTCGTTCCAGCATGTCCTACTTCATGTTCACCACTGCTGTCCAATGTGAATAATTTAGGAATATTGACAAAAAGTTGTTTCCACAGTTTCTCATTAGGTTGAATGGGATTTTCAACAGTTGCTACCAATGTAGCAACACAAGTTACATCCTGAATAATAATTATCAGGATGAGTAACAGTAAAATCATGCAGTTCAAGAGGTTAAAGCAATTCAACATTTTAACTGTCAGTAACCGTGACTGGCAAAGAAATGAGAACAAGAGCCAAATTTGAAATAAAATAAATAAAAAATAAAAAAGGCGGAATGGAGTAAAGAAATGAACACAAAATGCAGTAGGAAAGCAGAGGACAGAGGAGAAAAGAATGGGGAGCAGAAGAAAGATGGTGAAAAGGCTAGATATGGTGGAGAAAAGGTGGCTGTGGAGAGATGGAGCTGGTAAGTGTATGTAAGACAAGAAATTTTAATTGCACACTTCCTAAGACAAAGCGAGGTGACGGAAGTCTCACGTCAACACTCCTTAACACAAGCTCGCACCTACAACACACACGAGTCTCTAACTAATGCTGTATCTGTGTGTTTCACAGATAAATGTGTAGGTTTGGTATAATGCATGTAAATAATTATATACATAAATATACACTACATACAGTCATTGCAGTTACACTACTTGCTCTCTTGCTACTTATGTAGATTGTATAAGTCTCTGGGACTGAACAGGAGGGATGAAACACAATTATTCCAAAACATATGCCCTCAACTGCTGTTTTGATGATAGTGGTGGAGTGCGCTGTCTAGCACACCAAAATCTCTTATTAAATTCATAAAAAGTTCAATTAGGATTCAGATCTGGTGACTGCAAAAGCACATGATTTATGTCATTTTCATACTCAGTGACCCTTTGTGTCCTGTGAATGGGGACATTACCATCCTGGAAGAGACCACTCCCACCAGGTTGAAAAAATACACAATAAAGGTGATCATTCACAATAATTTGCATTGATTTGCAGTGACCCTGCCTTCTGAGGGGACAAGCATCTCTCTAGATTAGTGCCTATGGTTTTTGCATCACTGAAATCTCAAATGTGCATTCATCCTTGTAACAAATCAACTTATGACTTGTCTTATTTGACCCTAAAGAAAGACTGTTTTCTACTTAAAAAGCAGTGCATTTTGTGACAGCTGTAAGAGCGCATAAAATAAGCATCATCACAAAGTATTTATTACTTTCAGTATTTCACTAACATTATTTTTACTTGAACCTGAACCTGAAAATCACATGAAAGCAGGGTAACACATACATATAAAGTGAAAGCTGTTTCCTGTTTTCATCATTATGCAGAGGAGCAGTGACTGCATGTTCCTGTATTTGAACAAGAGACTATAGTAGCTGGCTTCAAGTTGTTTAGGCTGGGACTATAGGCTGAAGTTGGATTTTTATTTGCTGCAGCGCCATTTAAGGAGACGTTGCAACATCCAATCATGTTCCCATCAAACATCAGAATTGATCGAAGGGACTTTGACCATAGCTGTGAATGCCAACTGGGGTGGTTTGAGCATTTCAGAAACTGCTGATCCCTCTGGGGACCATCTCTTGAGTTTACGCAAAATGATGTAAAAAACAAAAAGTATGCAGTGAGCAGCAGCTTCTGTAGGCAGAGAAACCTTGTTGATGAGATCAGAGGAGGCTAGCCAGACTTGTTTGAGCTGTTGGGTAGGCAACGGTAACTCGATGCATGACCCACTGAACCTTGAGCCCAACAGGCTACGAGAGCAGAAGACCATGGTTTTCATTCATCAGGTAAAAAAGAGAATCTAAGACTAAATTGGGCACAAGCTCACCAAAACTGGACAGTTGAGTATTGTCGCTGTCCATGTTCATGTCTATATGGCCATAACTTATCCATCTTCTAAAGAGTACTTCCAGGATGATAAAACACCTTCTTACAAAGTCGTCTCAAACTGGTTACATGAACATAACAGTGTTCTGTGGGCTCCCCAGTCACCAGATCTGAATCCAATTAAGCGGCTTTGGGATTCTGTATATGTGCAGCTGATAAATCTGCAGCAATTATTTAAGTAATGCAATCATGTCAGCATGGACCGGAATTTCTAAGGAATGTTTCCAGCACCTTATTAAATCCATGACATGATTCAGCCTTATCTGAGAACAAAGGGGCTTCTGACCCAGTATTAGAATAGTGTTTCTAATAAAGCGGCCGGTGATTGCGTATATGTGTGTGTTTGTACATTTATTAGATTTCAGCTCTCTATGAGAGGGGAGGATTCACCATTTGTAACGGTGCCAATTTCTTGGAGCAAGCATTATGTAAACTGCCTTTGGGCACACAGCGGCATTTCAACACTGATGACTGCTGCAGATTTGGTTGACACATAAAAACTGGGTTATTGCCTAGCTATCCAATTTTCCACTTGAAATCATCATGGAAACAAACTTTGATGACTTTTTAAAACTCAGCTTTCAGTTTTCAGCTATATGTTACACGCTTATTCATACACAGAGAGGATGGTAACCACTGTAAATATGAAGTCGCTGTAAATTTTGCATTTTGCACACTCACAAAGCATTCACCCCCTTAAAGATGAGCTACACACAGACAGCAGTACAAACAGTCTTTCTATGTATAGACACACTGTCAGTGACACTGTAAAACACACCTGGTATAGAGGTGCCCAGTGCTACAAACACCACGGCAGTGACAGAGTCCTTTAGGCCGACGGTGCAGCCGAAGTGCGAGGCCAGGTCACCCGTCACTGCTGTTAAGATGCCAATCAACGAGATTGACACGATGAAACATGCCCACCCATTCCAGTATTCAGTGGGGGGCACGAAGGCAAAGAGGACCTTCCAGAAGACGGTGAGGAAGTGCATGATGTAGTCGAAGCAGGATGGAAGACGCTCCTCGCCACTCTCCTCCTCATCATCGTCACCTAAAAAGTCAAAGGGCAGAGGGTAGAGAAAGGACAAAGGAGGGACAATGAATATTTGATGTAGGCTAATGACTAAGAAAGGGCAGCAAAGAATACGAATCAGTTCATCAACCCATCAGTCAAACCCATCACCATTGAGTTGGAGCTCAAACTGCACTAACCCCTGTCTTCAAGCAGATTGGTGCAGAGAGAATAAAGAACCAGTTCAAACACTTGCTGGCTCTGAGCTTCCCTGTGTCCATTTTCATTCTTCTCATTCTTTATTGCTTTACCACAAAAAGGCCAAATATATTTTCACAATCTTAGCATATGACTTAAGTGGACCTTATGAGTTCATGTTTGTGATCATTTTAGGCACGATTCATCAAATCATATCATTTAAAATACAACATTATTGCTTTCTCATGATCTACAAATAATATTAACCAATAATACCATGCGTCACCTCCCACTTCCATCACTTTGAATACTGACGCAGTATGGAAGAAAATTTCCAATTTCCAATTGGAATCGGGATTTCCAATTTAATTTGACTTTAATATGTAAAATATGGTGTCGTTTTTAGTGCAGCAACTTAAGTGAACTTGTTTTGGTAAAACATTATTGACCATATGATAATGTGCTATGCAAGTACGTTTTACAGATCAGGCTTGACTTGCAAATATATAGTCCTGTGCAAAAGTCTTCTGAGAAAATGATACATACAGACATTTCTGAGGGCAGTAAACATTTATTTGTTCAAAAAATAAACAATATACTGGGATTTCATCTCTGTCAGTGTGTTAGCATAACCATTTCTGATCCTCTCCTCGAGGAAACCCAGTATTTACAGTTACCATCTAATGCCTGCTTTAGATAACCATTCCTTCATTAAATCAGGTGCACTAACGAACATATGTGCTAAATCAGGTGTGCTAAGCAAAAAAAAAAAAACTTTTTAAAAAAACTTTCTTGGCTGCCTTAAATATTTTAATTTCTACAGTGTACAATGATGTAACTTCTGAAGTTAAGCTATGAGTATGTTCCATCATTAAATGTATGTATATATATATATATATATATATATATATATATATATGTTTTGTGTGGTGATATTGTGATATAATATATGTGTACTACCCCTGGTGTGCATTTCCAGTAAGACAGTAGGCTAAAAAGCCCAGCAGGTATAAACAATCAATGACCCAGTAAAGGCTCTGGCCAAAAAAAACTGTCAGTTTATTTTTACCTTGTTCAGTTAGCTTTTCATTTTGCAAAACAGGAGAAATAATTCTAAGTGATAGTACAATCGATGAGTGCAGATCTACTTGTATTCCTTTATGCTTGTCAAAGATGTAAAAGTATCATTATATCTCTGTACAAAGATTTATATCACTCTGTATGCTACATAATACAAAATTATATGTATTCAAGCCTTTGACATATGTACATATTCACATATTCATTTCTTTTATACCAATGTTCTATATTCCTCCAGTTAATGTCTTATTTTCTCTCAATTATTTGTTAAGAGTCAGATAATAAACTTGATTTAGATTTTCAAAATCTTATATAACCACTCAGAAACTGCTCCTGAGCAAGAGCTTACTAGCATGCAAACAGAATGTGTAGCAGCTTACCTGCACTCACGGTAACCGCACTGACAAACTGCTCCCTCCAGCTGCTGCTACCCACTACCAGAGCCAGATTGGTCTTCTTAATGAGCTTATCCACTGTGCTCTACACACACACACACACACACACACACACACACACACACACACACAAAGTACATTTGCACATTAAAACTGTAAACATCAATTAGCAAATTACATTTACATGACAATCTAATGACCCATAACCATAATGGGCAGTAACAATCTAATTGCATTAATGTGCTTTTACTCGAGAGCAGAAAAAAGCACATCTGGCGTCCTATAGCAGCACATTTTCAGCTTCGGACTATATAATGCAACTATAATGCAGGAGCTGTGTCCTTCACTGTAGATGTGAAGTTTGTACAGAGAGTGTTAGCTGACTCACATTCAATCTTTTCAATATGGCACTTGGAAAATTGTCCAAAGTAGCATTCTGAGGCATTTCCTCCGCTGATATTTTAGCCGACAGCTGGAATCTCCATTATTTTTAAAATAAAGCAGTCAGACCCCCACTCTGAGCTATTTCTGTAATCAATCCATTTTTGTGACCTTTTGTGGTGTTTCAGAAGCTAGCACATACATTTAATCAGATTTTAGTTCTTCTATATTTTTAACCTTTAGAAGTCTAGAGTATTACATGATCATTTATACATAATTACATAATTACTTATAAATACATGTTTACATAATTAATTAAATTTACATTTCCCTCTGAATTTTTTATGCCAATGACAAAACTGTAGCAAAAATGGATGGTAGACTATTAAGTACAGCAGTATTCTTAACACTGGTCCTGGAGTAAACCTCCTGCCCTGCGCATTTTAGTGTGTTCCTTGCTCCCAACACATCTGATTCAACTAAGCAGTTAATTAGCAATCTTCTCCTGAGGTGAACTGGGTGTTCTAGAGCAGGAAAACACATGTGCAGGGCAGTGGGAGCACCAGGACCAGGGTTGGGAACCACAATAAAATATTTCCTCTTCTACTGATAAACACAAAAGCAATGTCAATTGAAAGATTGGAATATTCACTTTTGACAGAATTTCTCCACCTGTCTGAATGAGCTATGAGTGAAAAATAAACAAAATGTAAGAAGAGGAGTTACAAGGAGCGAATACCACAGGGGACCAAGTAAGGTTAACCTGTACTATACTAATGAGGCTCTAAGTGCAAGGTAAGAGGAAGTGTTACCTTAAACTCATAGGACTCTTCAATCACCACCTCCAGCCTGGTGTGTTCTCCTAGGCTGGGACAGCCCATCTTAGCCACCTCTTCTTCTTCTGCTCCTACTGCAGGCTTGTTCTCATTGGAGTCTCCTGAGAGATAGAGAGAGAGAGCGAGAGAGAGAGAGAGAGAGAGAGGTATGTAATGCACATAGTTAAATACAGTCAAAATAATACTATTAATATATTGCCACTGTCATTTTTGTATCTACAGAATGGTAAACATGACAATTTTCCATCCTCTTCTTAACCCTTAGAATGTCTTCAGGACTGATGTATGCAATTTTTCACCAAGCAATGTGTTACGGTTACAAAGTTGTAGGCATTTTCTCAGATGCTGTATTTGGTTAACCTTGTCTGGGTACCAAGCGTGCTGAACTGTAACATAAGGGTGGAGCAAACTACTGATTGGTCACATGGCATTTAAAAAAAAAAACACTAGCTAACCAGATTCACTGCCTATGACTTTTCACATAAAACCAAACACAGTAAAATGTAAATCAGAGCTTAAGTGTCCTCCATTGTTCTTACTGTTGTTTGTGTTTTCTGTTAATTCTGGATATGTGTGAGAAACACGACCGGACAAGCTAAAGAGAACTCCACATACTTTCATGGTTCTTTGAATGTGATGGGAAACTGACAGAGGTACTTGACCAGGGTACAAATAGTTTGGATTTCTATCTGTACCATGCTGTACCATACTGCCGGTGGAAAAACACCATGAAAAATCTGGTTGGCTGCCGTGTACTGTGCCTTACTAGAAAAGCAGTCCAGACTGAAACACTCCTTACAACCTGCTTATATTCAGTGTTGAAGGGCAGGGCTAAACTGCTGTAGGCTAAGTGGATGCATGTGGTAAATGTATTGGTTATCATGACAGTTCAGAAACAATGAATTCAAAATAGGCTGATTATACAGCTTTGTTTTCATTAATGGACTGTATGGACTGGAGAGTTAACTATGTTTTGAAACTCTGTTACTGTTGTTTGCACACTACATACAAAAAAACCTGTTTTTTGCAATATGTGCCCGGTAATGTACATTAAAATAAAAAAATAGATTTTATTTAGTATTTTTGGACCTTTCCTATTGGTCCATATATGATCACATGGTCATAAAATGAAAGAGAAGCTAGAATTTTCGACTGGAAAAAAGTGCAAACTGAAAAAAAAAAAGTTGTGAAGTTTTCATATAGCATTCATATGGATGTGTGCAGTTACCTGTGTAATGGAATGTGTGTTTATATTGACTGATTAATGCACTGATGCATGATTAATTCTTGAATGCTTGAGCAACATTATAAATCAATATGGCCAATAAAGCTGTTCTTAAATGAATAGACCTGAACTTAACTGAAATGAACAGAACTGAACTGAATTGAACTGAATTGAACAGAATTGAACTGAAGTGAATTGAACTGAACTGAATTAAAATGAACAGAACTGAATTGAACTGGACTGACCTGAATTAAGCTAAACTGAACTGAACTAAACTGAATTAAACTGAACTGACCTAAATTGAGCTAAACTGAGCAGAATTAAACTGAAATGACCTGAACTGATCTGAACTGAATTAAACTAAACTGAACTAAACTGAACTGAACTAAACTAAATTGAATTGAACTGAACTGAATTAAACTAAACTGAACTAAACTGAACTGAACTAAACTGAATTGAACTGAACTGATAAGTAGAGGAAGAGATATTGTATATATATCACAAGCTGACAGAGTAACAGTGCTGAGAGTGAATTATAACTGGTCAGGAAAGAGGCTAAAGCAGGGGTGCACATTCTCACTCAGCTTCTTAATCTGACAAGCAGAATCTCAATAAATCTCACAAGAGTCATGGTGGTAATTGAATAGCAGAGTAAGGTGTTGGACTGAAGGGGTTTGTGCCAGGGCAGGCCGTATAATTAACGGCAAAACACGCTGATGGCCTGCAGTCTCTCAAGCTGATCCTGTGGCAGCCAATTATTTTTAGAGGTAACAAACTTTCCCAGCCAGCGGATATTAACACCCGACACTGTGCTGTGAACATATGTGCTGCGTTTCACATTACGTAAAATAAAAACAGAGCTAAATCTTATGCGCAGAGAGGCGGAGAAATTTGTTATTCTCTCTCTCTATCAAAATCACATCTCTTAAGCTTAAAAGAGCCTTACATAATCGCTCCGCGCACACGGAAGAGCCCCATGTTTACTCTCCCTTTATTTTTCACTTTCCCTTGATGCCCTGTGTGCTCACATCACTCTGTTCACTCCTGTAAGCTTTCATTCTTTTATCCTGTGCCTGCGGTTCTCACTAGCTGACCCCTGCAGCTGTTTGGCTTGCTCTCTTTGTATTAAACTGAGTAGAAGTATATCTAAACCTCAGGGCTAATGATAAAATAAAGTTTGATTCCCATGGTAGCTTTTCAATTAATTAAGAATTTGCATAATGTTCATCAGAGCATTCTCAGTATGAAGAGCAGCTTTTGCCTAAATAATGAATTAACAGTTTTATTCTCCAAACTGTTGTTAAAAGCACATATTGAAAATATTTTGCTTCAAAAGGTGGTTTAATCAGCGGAAAGGGTTGAGAGCTGATGAGTGTCAGGGTTATTACTGTTATTACTGTTAACAAAAACTACTATGAAAATGAAAACTAACAGAGAAAAAAGTAATAAAAAAACTAAATTAAAACTATAATGCAGGGCTGCCCAAATGTTTTGTCGCAGGGGGCCAAAGTGGAACATTTGTGGTGGTCCCAGGGCCAAAAATACAAAACAGCATACAGATATAGAAGGTAAGTACTGTACTGTGCAAATGTCAGAGCCCACCCTGCATGTATTTAATGTCCAGTCAAAACAGCCATTTAGTATAAGTTGGTGGAAGTTTTAGAAGTAATTAAGAAGTTATAGAAAGATTAGATATAACAAAACCCACTTGCCTTAGGAAGTCCATGGAAAATAACTGGAAAAATGTATTAAATAACACAGACAAAATGAGAGTCCTAACAACCATGATTGTTCTTTCACCACCAAAACTATCACTACCAGATAAACAGTGCTTGAAGCTTTCATCTTTGAGAGAGAGGAGAAAATCAAGCTCTAAGAAAAATCCACAGGTGTTTATGTCCATCCTTCCACTGTGAGAAGACAACCCAACACTATGAGTCTGAAAGGATGTGTAGATGTCAAGAAGATTTTGAAAGCAGGAAATAGAAAAGACGTGCACTAGAACACCTGAAACTGGATGTTTGAGATATAAGGTTTTATGGAATGAGGAATAATGTTTTATGAACTCTTGAGTCCAAATGTAATTGGAATTATTTGTATTGTGAGAAGCAGAAAACACAAACATCTCCTAAGACTGAACTTTGGAGATGTGGAAAATCATCCAAGCAGATTTCTTTGAAAAACTGCAAAAGCAAGTTTCTTGACAGCAATGGAAGCAGTAATAAAGGTAGATGGTGGACACACTAAATAATGAAAAAAAAAACAAAAACAACAACAAAAAAAAAGTTTGAAGTTTTCTAAAACTAAAACTAAATAAAAATGAAACTAAAACTGTCCATTTCAAGACAATAAACAGAAACCTAACACTATTAATGCACTGTAAAAGAAGCTAAACTGAAATATATTTAAATTAATGACTTAAGTAATTAATTAAATAATTTAAAGACTAATGAAAATTGCAAAGCTGTAATAACACTGTGAGAAAACTTTTGATGAGCAGTGTATACAACATCGGGGGCATGGTTGAATGTGTGGAAAGAATAGCAATATTAATTTTTTACTTGTTTTTATTTATTCACAACTCATCAAGTTAAGAAAATATGGATTCTGACATGGATATGGTCACGATTTGTCTTCATTCATTATTTTTCACTATTGTGAAAACACTGAATCTTGAATCCAGCATCGTGAATCGAATCATGAGCTGAATGTGTCATTTCACCTCTGGAGAATGATATGAGTAGACGCTCTTTACCATGTTTCTGTCCGACCTCCAGGAGAACCGGTTCCCCCAGCTCAATGATGAAGCTTTTATTCTTCTCATACTCCTCATCGTCGATAATCTTCACTTCAATAATCTTCCTGCACACAGAGAGAACAGAGAGCTGAGACTTTGTGTAAATATGTCTCTCTGCATAATCTCCAAAGAGTCTGAGATACAGCAACACCTCTGCTTTACACTGACAGCTGACAGTAATCTTACACTGCGCTGCAGCCATACATTCTTTATATACCAACATATTTTCTTTCTCTCTTTCACCTTAGACAATAAGAAGGTTTATGTTCTCATGCGTAATTTGCTATATAATTTGCATAACACTGATGCATTTGAGAACACACACACACACACACACACACACACACACACACACACATACACACATACACACACACACATTACAGATGGATTGCATCAGATTTCATCTAAAAGCCATTGTGGACAAAAACATCCTGAGAGTTAACGATTCATAATTAATACCCAAAGCCAAGGCAAGCCCCTCCACATACACAGTTTACACAATAAACACAGTGGCAATAAAAAACAAACATAGTATAATAATATATTCACTCAAACAGCTGTGTATCAATTAACCTATCCATGCTCCACCCACAAAAACATTGTTATGTAGCAACTGTTGCTAGGTTGGACAAGCTTTGCAGAACACTGACAAAAATCTCACTCAACCTAATGGCAAACTGTAGTGAACAACTACATTTTTTTATAAAAAAAACATAGATTATTTAAATTGGGCCACAACAGTGTTTGTTTACATAGTGTTTGCTACATATACATAATGTTGAGTTTCCATTTTAAAGTCGTACTGAACTGAACTGTTTCTGTGTTCATGACAACTGGGAACACTGACCTCTCAAACTCTGAGCTTCCTACGTCCCATCCCAAAGTCTTCAGTAAAGGTCAGTAAAATGGGGCGCACAGTAATCTAACACTTGAAGTTACTGACTTGCTCAGTTAGTGCTTTATTCATTTTAACAATGGATACAGGTTGAGGCAATTTACCATTAATACAGTGCCGATAATGACATGTGAAGTCTGAAAATAAACAAAAAATGAAAAATTCAAGTATTCCTCTGGATTTATCAATATCATTCTTCAACTTGAACTCAAAAGTCTGCCTAAAAAGCTTAAATTATTTATAGCACTGCCATGATGCCATGGAACAGCAGCTTAGAGAAGTCGCAGCTCTTGGGAAGCTGGAACTTTCCAAGTGTGAAATATGGCTTGGTCAAATGGCATTTTTCTGCTTGGAAGTCAGACACGTGTCAGTTCCTGCTTGATCATAAATGCAGCATATGTTGTTGGAGCTAACTGAAATGAGGCAGACTGGAAACGGCAACAACACAGAACCACAATGCTAACCGCAAAAAAAAATAATACACCAGATCGATCCCAGTAATGTGACCCACCTAATGCATATGAAATCAAAGAGTGCGTTTACATACACATTATAACCTGATCATTATCGGATTTCGTCAGTAATCTGATTATTACCAGCCATACTCTGGTTTCACAGATCAGATTAAGGCCTGGAAATCTGATTGAGGAATCCAATAAAGAGACCTGGATTTTAGTTTAATAATCAGATTTCTCAGTGCATGTATACCCTTGCTCTGATTTCTTTCATTTTTCCTAGTCTGCACATGTGCGAAAACAGACTGTTGTCCCGGAAATAGCAAGCAGTGTTTAACACAGCACCCACGAGATGGCAACAAAACACTTTTGGAGCGATGCTGAAACCAATTACATGTTTGATGAAATTAAGAATTTAAATATTCCTCACCTTGTAGATGATGTATATTCATATTTTCCCCAAAGAGACTTGATGTTTAAAAAAAAAAACTCTGTATGACATTTTACCTTATGTTTACATCATGTCTTCTTCTGTGAGTTTATTGGTGAGTTGCAAAGCAGAAATCCGATTATTGCCCAACTCATGTAGACCTGGAGTTTTCCTATTATCTGATTACCTAAGTGCATGTAAATGCGTTGAATGAGTTACTAACAAACTCAGGTTTTCTATTAAGTGTATGTAAATGCATCCAAGAGACTGAAAGAAAGTCTGTACTAGGAGGCATCAGCCATTTTTTGATATTCCTTTCATTTAGCAGATAGTGAGAGCTGATCATACATACATACATACATACATACATACATCATCTAAACCGCTTATCCTTCTGGGTCGTGGTGGAGAGCTGATCAATGATGCAACATATGTGAGCCATAAGTAGTACATCACCTAACTGAGTGCGGTGAGTATCAGAAGCCAGGAGAACTGACAAAGACTGATAAAACAACACTGCCAATAAGCCACTAAACTCTACTACTAAAAGTAGAGATGAGCTGAGTAAATTATTTTAGTATTTTAAGTGGGTAACTACCAGAGGCAGCCATTCCACAGAGCACACAGGCACTGAATCACTGGCAGAAAAAAAGAAAGCTTTACAACTCTTCCCGAAATGACTCTAACTGACCTCTCTGGACCTTGCACAATTGTGGACAGCGAAAGATTGTTTAGCACTGCTTCTATTATCTGGAACTTAAAGGGGAACAGACAGCCCTGACAGAAAGCTGTAATTTACTCTTCATAATCTGTCATCGAAGTTCAACAGTAAGCACAGTTGCAGTTGCTCATGATAGCAAGTTTTAGGTTAAAATATTCTGTTTTGCTGCTAGAACTTTTTTGTCTGAAAAAAAAAGTTTGTGAGATTACCTGATTACTTATGCATTTATTGCAACAATCATTTAATCATGTAGCTTGTTGCTACTTTTGTCTGAAGTTACAATTAAAAATGGGTTAAGACATTATGGCATGAACCCATCCCCGAACTCCGAGCCCGAACTCCGAGCGGGGAGAGGATGAAATCTGTGGGGGAGGGGGGATGGCACACAAGTCACAGACATATAAGTGTTTGGCCAAGAATCTATAAGATTAAGCCTATTTCACATAATTTGTTTTAATATCAGGATTATTAAAGAACTGTAAACTATATTTGATGTTTTTTGCCCGTGTAGTTAAAGGAGCAGTATAAGATTTCAATCCAATACACTTTTTATCAAACATCTCCTCACAGTCTGCTAGCTCTCCATTCTGTGTGCATGCTAAAAAAATACCAGTGTTCGTACATAGCCCCGGCTCTGTACCTGGGAAATAAACAGTGTTTCAGACCAGTTTGTCCTGTTTGCTAATGTTTGCGACAGCAATTGGTTAATTTCGCAGTTTGCAAAGCGTTTAATATCCACATAATATCTAAAAAAAAAAAAAAGAAAACAACTTTGCTAGCTCAGTGTTGTTTGCCCTGGCAATGCGTGTCCATGAATTTGGGGGGCAGAGCTTCTGAAGGAGCACTGAAGGGAGGGGTGCATTTGTTTTGCTGAGTTTAAATATCAGCAATCGTTCTCCAGAAATGTATACTGCTCCTTTAAGTGTTGCATCATCCTATCCCTGCCCCCAATCGGAACCAGCATCAGCTAATCGGCCGTTGACAACAGCAACAGTTATCGACCTCACTAAATGTTGACTGGTCCATCTCTAGTCTATATAAACACACATTTACTTGTACAATGCAGTGAAAATTTAATTTTCCGCTTCTGGTTTCTAATTTTGCATATTTTATCACACTAATATAATGCGAGATAAGGAGTACATGACAAAAGTTACCCATCAACTGGCCCTGTGTGAAAAAGCAATTGCCCCCTTAGTTACTAGTTGACAACTGGTATCAATTCAAATAGACACACTCAAGCTTGATTACTGCCAACTCTGTTGAATCTAAACATCACTTAAATTGAAACTTGCGAAAATAGGCTAAAAGCTCTCAACGATCAAAAGATGTTTCGGAACAACTGAGAAATTAGGTTAGTGAGATCTGGAGAGGGTCACAAAGCCACTTCTAAGTAAATCAGCAGAAGGCAAATAGTTTGTCATGGCACATACATAAACAGCAGTGTGCTGTTGAAGGGAAAAACCCTGAAGATGTAAACAGCACTGAAGCAGCTGTCAGTCTGCAGTGGAGGCGAATCCCCCCAGTGCAAAATATTCCATTATTTCACTGCTCCACTGCCTTCACTGTTCCCTCATTAATCCCTATTCAATTAAAACTCAGTTAGAAAACTAAATTAGAAAGGCTTTTATCAACACCACTCGTCTGCTTCTCTACAAAGAGGCAGAAAAGTACAGAGACTTCAGAGAAAATGAAATGATGTGTGCAAAAGTGAACAACAAAGTTTTTTTCTAAAAAGGATGAAGAGGTCATTTCTACTGGCTGATATTGCCTTATTCTTCACTGTAGGAGTTTTTCTACAGACAGTAAACACACAGTAATGACCTCTGAGCTCTTACTTTAATCCAACAAGCAGCACAAACACGCACACGCACAGCTTACATCACTCAACACTTCATTAGACCCCCTTTCATTCTATCAGCTACTCTATCCCTCCATCCTCCACTGCTGTTGTTTCCACTCTCTCATGTTTGGTTAAGATAAAGCTGTTGTTATTCATTAATGCATTCACACAGTGATTTGCTATTACTTCATAATATTATGAGCTTCAGTCTTCAGTCGCTTTTCTCTCTCTTTCCTCTTTTATACTTTTCCTCTCAACTTCCTCAGTCTTTCTTTCTCTCTCTTCTTCTCTCTTTCTCTTTTCTCTCCTCTCCTTCTCTCTCTGTCCTGACCCCTCCTTTTCTCTCAATCTTTGTCCTATTTCTGTGTCTCTCCCTCGCTCCCCTTTCTCTGTTTCTCTCTTTTCTCTCTGTCTGCTTCCCCTTCATCTTTTTCTCTCTTCTTCCATCCTTTTCCTTTCTCCTCCCTCTTTTTTCTCTCCTCCTTTTCTTTCAATCTTTCTCCTTTTTCTCTCCTTCGCTCCGTTATCTCTCTCGTCTCCCCCTCTATCTCTTCTTTTACTCTCTCTTCCTCTCTTCTGATTCCTTCTCTCTTCTTTTCTTTTTCTCCTCAGTATTACTCTCCCTTCCTCCTCCTTTCCCTAATCCTTTTCCCCTCTGCATTTTCTCTCTTTCTCCTCCTTCTCTCTCTCAATCTCTCTCCTCTCCCTGCTTTTCTCC